TAAGTTTGGCTACCTAATAAACAAGTGAGCACAGGTCTTCTAATGGAAAGTGTTGGGCAACGTGTACCCTGACAGCTCTGCCTACACTGATTTAAATGGGCTTCACTGCCAGGTACAGGGCGCTCAGTGACAAAACATGCCCACGAAATCCCCACGCACTGAAATAAGCAGATCCTAAAATATTAACTCATTTTACAGAAGCACTCAGCACACAAACTGGTGTTGGAACAACGCTAGAAACAGTTTATTCAGATTAAAAACATTTTAACTAACAGGACCTAAACTTCACAGGTAGCTGGGATAATTAAACCTGCAGAAAAAGTAATTTCGTTTACAAGGAAAAAACAAAACCAAACCAGCACACCATTTCAAAGCGACTCACTGAGAGACCAATAAATAAATAAATAAATAAAATTTTATAATACTTTTTGCGTACGTTTCCCCCAAAGCAGGCCAAGTATTTCCTATTAATCTAACAGAGATGCTCTCTGTGAACGCTGGCTTCTGGAAGGGCTAATTACTGCTTTTCAAGATGAAAATGCCAAGTGAAAATGAAAATTGACTGGCGGCCTGCCCGATGCAGGGGAAACTCCCTGAGCCAGGAGTGGGAGAGGACTAGCCCAGAAGTATTTTTAAGTAAATGAGAGGAGCAAGAACGAGACCAGAGCAAAAGGAGGATTATTTTTCCCTTGCTAGAGACCGGTGCCGATGGTTTGCTGCGGAGCCTGTGGTGCACAGCACGTTGGCACGGCAGCTCCAGGGCACCATCGCCCTCACCCATGCCCTGCACAGCCAAAACCTTTCTGCTTGCAAGCCCAGAGCCACCAGTGACATTAACCACACCGCATCACCTTCACTTGCACTTCACTTAATTTAAGACCAATTAATACAAATTTACTGAATTCCAAGATGATTTTTTTTTTATTTTTTTTTTTTAATTAAAGCTGCCCCGCTTGCCTCTCGCCGCTAGATTTAAAACCAAGAGCTTTGGCAGCCAGATGCGTCTCGCCCGCCCCGGCAGCGTGCATCGCTGCGGCTTTCTCCACAAGTCCATTTGGGCTAAAGTGCTCCCACTTGACCGACTTTATGGTTTAAGCTCCTGCCGTTTGCCTTCCAACACCAGACCTCCGGCAGCCCCGCGGCGGAGCAAGAGCCCAAACCCCACTCCCCTGCTTGCAAACACCTCCCTGCATCAATTTGCTGCCGGTGGCAAGAGATGTTAAACCATCAGCGATGTTACTCCGTTAGCAATTCTCTTAGTAGCTCTACTCAGGTTCTGTAAGCCAGACTGGCAAACTACTTCCCCCCCCCCCCCCTCCCCTCCCCCCAAAAAATAAAAGGGGTTTTTCTAGCATTATGGTCTATAGCTACACCCTTAACATAAGGCAACACTAATGCAATTAATAAAATACTGGGTTTGCTGGGCTATAAATAAGGGGTAGAATGGCGGTACTGCCTAAAACACACCTGGAATTTGACATTAGGAACGATTTTCCATTTAACTCCTTTCTTAATAGGGTAAGAAAACCTTTCAGTAACACAATCTGAGTGTTAAAGTGGTCACACTTGGTTTCTGTTTTATTTTATAAGTCTGGCGTTGTTCGGCTCCCCTCTATGCGTGACAGCTTCAGGCATGCATCTGTGCGACCGCGACCGAGTGCTGCAGCCCGGGATGATTTGTGGAATTTATCTGGGGTCCGTTTCGTGCACAGACCTTAAAGAATTAGGTCAGACCCATACCGCTATGTCATTTTTTCCCCCCCATTTTATTATCTGTTTGCCTCCTGCCACCCCACTCCCTGCAAGCCCGTCCTCACAAAGCAAGCCCTGGCTCACCGGACCCCGGCGTGATCAGTGGACCCTCCAGCTCGAAGGCATCGTCTTCACATTGATCATCCAACTTCTTCTTTTTTTTCTTTGATGGATCTCTGGGTTTCCTCAAAAGGGAGAGCTCTTCTGGATGCCTGATGTCTGGGGAGAAAACAGACCACTTTTACAGAGGCAGGATGGAGAAAAGGGGGAAAAAAAGCATATCCTTCCTTTAGGAACAGCATCCAGCAACATGCAGCATCTTCCTGGGCTGGTTTTCCTGCTTTGAAATAGTTAAAGATCAAGTTGAGAACATTTTCCCCGCAAGCCTGTCGGAAACAAGCACCGTCCTTGGCTGAAGAAGTAACGTAGCATTTGGGTAAACTGCAGAATTTCCCAGGCACAGCCACTCAAATGCAAATACAAGCACCGCTAGACCCTGTGACAGAGCCTAATACTGTTCCCACCCATTATCTTAAATATAAATATAAATAAATATAAGTCTAAATAATATATATTAATCACTTTGTAAAACACTATTTAGGCACCTAGGTAACAGGCCAGGTACCCTCACCTCCATAGGAGCAATCCAAGAGTCAAACCATTTATTTACATATCAGACTGGAAATTTTAAAGCCTATACTTAAGGCACCCACTTTTTTTTAAAGAGATCTTGGCCAAAATGTTTCCTTTTCACAGCAAATCTTTCCCATTTCCCTGCCCAGCACCAGCCTGAATAATTTTAAAACCGTGTTTAGAATGAAGAGCACCACAACGTGTTTGTGTTTTAAGCCATGGGAGTATGGGGGGGCTAATGAAAAAGAGAATTTTAGGGCCATTTCCCACGAAGGTGGTACTTTGGGTTTGCTTCTGCTGGCTGCAGTCGCTTCCAAGCGGGAAGGAGCTTTCTGGGAAAGTGGTGTTCACCATCCGTCATACCACTGAAACCATCGACGGACCGGAGGGGAGCCCAGAGTCCCTCACCGGCGCTGCAAAATCCAAGCGGGGAGGAAAAAAAATTCCATCTCCTCTAAACCGTCCTCAGTCGATACGTGGGAACTGACCTGGAAAAGCATTCACCTGGGCACAAAGCCATCCCAACGCCATGATGAAAGGCTGCAAAAAGGTCGGGGCACTCTGAAACACAGCTTGGATTGGAAAAAAAAGAGATGATGGGTCACGCCTGAGCCTGGAAGGAAGAGTTTCGGAGCTCTCCTCTGCAGCTGGCTGCCCATATCCAAGCCCCTGTACTGTTTCGAGCTCTGTTTTTTGGACGTATCGCCTGAAAATGCTCGGCTGCGTGGAGATGTGAGAAGCTTTGCCTTCGGGATGCCCTAAGGAAAGCAGCCCCCAGTCCCATCCCCGCCACAGATTGAAGCCCGCGGCTGTAGCTGCCAGGGAGGCCGGGACAGAGGAGAAGGAGCTGGTTGCATTGCAGCCAGGCTGTATTTTCCCACCAAGAGGAACGCTGAAGAAGACAATAAGTCATTATCCTAACGAGGAGAGGTTACAGGGTTCGTATCTCACCCTGGCCCCCGGCGCAGCCGCCGCTCTGGCAGCAGTGGGAGGTTGCTGTACACCCCCAGTTGCGAGAATATAATCGACAGGATTAAAACCTGGAATTTGGTCCCCAGGACGTGACCCGAGCGGGATACATCCCCACGGCAGCTCTGTCTGCCCCGGCTCCTGCCTGCCCATGCCAGCATCCTTCCTTACTGCAAATAAGCATGGAAACGCCAGGCTGGAAGCGAGCTCTGCATCCCCCTCGCCCCATCCAGGGATGCGCCGTGAGAGTAATTCCAAAAAGTACTTTTTTTTTTTTTAAATTTATTAAAGCTCAGCTTCCCTGACAGGTCACATCCCTGGGCTTTGTTTCCCTGTTTGCAGACACGGTGAGCATCGTGGGGCTGGTTGCACGGGCTGTCTCCTCCTGGGGAAGGACACGGTGACAGCCTCCCTGCGATGCTAGTTTCAATAGCAACCTGTGCTTTCCCCCTTTTTTTTCCCCTTGTTATTTTAAATAACAGCCTGTGCACCACCACCAACCCCACTGTGCCCGTCACGTTTGGGTGATTTGATTTTAGGTGACCCCCATGGATGGATCCCACTAGCCCCAGCGTTCCTGAACCCAGAGGTTGGGCACATCTGGATTTAACTCTCATATTGTGGGTCTCCCATCCCTTTAGCTTTAATTTAAGCTTTATTTTTATTTCTAGATTTATATATGTTTATTTATATATTTATTTACTTTTATATATAAGCTTTATTCAAGGTGTAACGCCGATTTATTATTACTACGTACACGTTATCATGCTAAACCCCATCCCCGTACCCGCTAACGAACAGTTCCGCCGCACAACTTTTTGACCATTTGTAGCAATAAATACCTAGCGTATGAACCCAGACAGCTCTTCCCATTTGTCACAGCCAGCTTACCTCATGGAGAAAAAATCTGCTGGGACAACCAGGGTCATGCACAAGGGCCAACAGGCAGCCCAGCCTAAAATGAGGAGTTTCCCTGGTATTTTGCTAGCAAGGTTTATACTCTGATGTTTATTTATGGTGCATTAGCAACTGATACAGCCTCTCAGCTGAAACCATTCAGAGAGGCCAAGAGAAGGGCTCCGGGCCAAGCTCCGCTCCTGAAAGCAATCTGTTGGAGACGGCCCAACGCTTGACCATCTGATTTCAAAGCGACTTTTTATAGTCCCTCAGTTGTTCATGACGCTATCGTCGGATTACAAAGGATACGGGCAAGTTTTTGGCAGCTGCTTCGAAACGGCGCACGGCCGCAGGGCACAGCAAAGGCACCGGCATCCTTCCGATGCCGGAGCATCCCTGCTCCCCTGCAGCCGAGCGCATTTCCCATTGGTAAGCGGCAAATTTCTCCCAAACAGCGGTCCACTGGACGTACCATCGTCTCCAAGACTTTACAAACCCACCAAACCCAACCGAGGGTTGCAGGGGGAATTAAAAATAGAGCCCACCACGCTAAAAAGCAGCGAGCAGAAAAGCAGCAAGCGCGCAACGTTGTTTTTATTTCCCACCCCAGAATTAGAGAAGAAGCAAGAAGCAACTTTGCACGTCGTCTGGCTGCATGTTTCCATCTTGCAGTAAACTGCTGATGAAAAAAATGTTTTGTTTGCCGCTGCTTATGATTAATAAGTGTACAAAGGGTCTTAAAGCGTGTTTTGAACAGAGCCGGGCTTGGCAAACACGGTGTTTAGTTACTGTCGCTAAAGCAGAGCCTTATCCCAGGGTGTAAAGACTTGCAGATGGTAGGACTCCAGTTAATTGAAAACTGGGACAAGGAACCACTCCAGAGCCCAAGCCCCTGGCTGTAAGAGCAAGAGAAAGATCCTTAAACTAACAAAGTGGTGCAAAAAAATTCGAGTCCTTTATATAGGTTTGGCTTTTTTACTACGTCCCACTGCACCTGGAAGAGCCCATTTGCTGGAGTTGTTCACCTGGGGTACATCTCCCCAGGGTTTGACTTCAGCCCCAAATTCCCACCCGAAACCCTCTGTTAACTAGCTCATCCACGTTTTTCAGCTGAAGCCAAACTGCTCCTTCCAAAGGTCACTCTGAAGGAAAAAGGGTCAGCGAAATGTGGGTGGACCGGGAGAAGTGACCTTCTGACCAAGGCCAATGTGTTGACTCTTCAATTGATGCGTTGGTGGGGGCTGTGTTTGCTTTAAAAGAGACTCCTTGTCTGTACACACAAGACAGATGGCATTGGCAACGTCTCCTAGAATTTACTGTAAATGATCCTTTTAGCATTTTATTTCTATTTATTGTGTAAGCGTGTGAAAACCCAGCTATCCAGCCTCTTACCGAGCATCCCCGGCATTGCTGGTGGCAGCCGCCAGCAGAAACCATCTGCAACGATACACGGCACGCTCCATATGGAGGGGAGAGCGCCAACCAAAATCTGGTCCAAACCCATTTTTCAGCTGGATCCAACCAGGAACCGTTCATGTTTTGGCATCTCCTCCAGCCCATGCATCCTCAGCTGCAGCTGCTGCTGAGCCCTAACATTGCTACAGCTCCACATCTCAGCAGAAGGGCTTCGTCAAACTTAGGGGATTTGTTGCCCAGAGAGGTGGTGGATGCCCCATCCCTGGGAACATTCAAGGCCAGGTTGGACAGGGCTCTGAGCAACCTGGTCTGGTTGAAGATGTCCCTGCTCATGGCAGGGGATGGACCAGGTGGCCTTTAAAGGTCCCTTCCCACCCAAACCGTTCTGTGATTCTATGATTTTATCAAGTGAGGGAAATGCCCTCACTTGAGGAGGAGCACACATATATGCATTTCATAGGTGGCATTTCAAAAATGCGACCAGGAAGGTGACTTTCAAACTCCAAGAAAAATTTTTCCAACTGTTGGATGAAGCCATTTTATTCCCTACAGCATCTTCTTCCCCATCTGCCTGCAAGAGCCTACTTGTGCCTGTGCCGTGTCCTGCTGACA